AAAATTAGAAAAAGCATATGAGTATATGAGTCGAAATTTCACATTTCGTTGACGTTTCCTCAAAACCGATTTCGATAATTTGATAAAGCATTTGATAGAACTTGATATGAACTTGCAGTGATTGCTTCTGTTCGACGATCGCCAGAGTCGTCTTTTTATAATCAATAGACAAGTGCAATCTATTTCGTTCACGTTATCGCAAAAAAATATTTATTCTCAACCGACCGTTGAACTTTTGAATTTTCACAGAAAAGTTTACACATAGATAATAACTCTTGGAATAAATATAATATGAAATATCACTAAATGTGGAGTCCTTTACCTGCGAGACTAATAGAGACGATTCACAATATCACTAGCAATGATATAATTTTTAAATTATGATTAAACAAAATACATATAAATCCATTTTGTCATAGTTAAAATACAATAAATTGCAGTCAAGACTGCATGCTACCACTGCAATTCTATTCAAAAGTGAAGTTTTTAGTAACAGTGCTGACGTCAGAATTTTGAATTGAAGCGAAGATTTAATTTATTGTTTTACCGATCGTTATTTCTTAAATACAATATGTATTTAAAAAAAAGAATTGACTCAATCACTAATTTTGTTAAATATGATCTTTGGAAATATGAACACATTTCATTTATTTGTATTTACACTAGAGACGAGACAAACTTTAGTTTCGAAATGTTTATAATTTTAATATTATTTAATAAATAGTTAAATAGTTAAAAAAGAGTGAAGTGTGTTTATATTTCCATTTAGATAACATTTTTTTCAGTGATAATACCTTTAATATATATATATATATCAATTCGGAGGGTGTAATATATCGAGTCAAAAAAGAAGGATTTAAATGATTCTTATTATTCCAGACATTTCAACATTAAATTATATTTCATTATATGTTGATATGAAATAGAGATTCCGATTTGCCTTACAATAAGTTGAATGTGTTCACAAAACAGAATTATTTAAATATTTATATTTGACAGTCGTAGTTTTACATGCAAGTTTTCAAATTGTTTTCATATCTACCCATGATGAATTTGAATTTCATGTCGCAAAGCCTAAAATAATAAAGATGCTTTAAAATCTTGCCCTTCTAATTTTTACTTGATGCTATGCTCTCCGAGTTTTAATTCATACATTTCAACATTAAAATCAACTATTCTTAACACACACACACACATTTGCATATATATATATATATATATATATATATATATATTAATAAAATATAATATATTACGTAATATTATTTAGGATGTAGCACGATTTTGCATATGCAGGTGCAAGACATCTATGCACACTTATTTACATTTATAGAACACAAATAAATTGTTAAATGATGGATGGAATTTTTGTTAAATTACAGTCGATATTTAAAATACTTAAAGCCTATAAATAGGTAAGTGGACTTTATGTACGTGGGTTTGTTGAATATCACATGAATATCCACCTAGACTTTGTATTTAAATAGTTTGAAGGTGAGCAGCGTGAGCGCATCATCGTCGCTTCCCTAAGACGTTATCTCACTGTTCGCTCTCTCATGACCCGTACCCATTATCTCCCGTGAGCTTAATAAATGGGACTTACTTCAATGCATCCTACGTGCCGAGTACGACCTTTCCATCATGCCATCTGCGACACAAATACACATTTATTTTAGATCTGAACACGTCAATCACAAATGAATCAATCGAAACGTAATCCGAACGTCAGATAGTTCGTTTCGGCTGTCCGTCGCCGATTTAGAATTCCCGCGTTTGTCGATCGCAGCGTGCTACGCGGAAATGTGCTACGTTTTCAGACATCGGTGTACTTCGCCGGACTGACTCGAGGTCCGCGAGGGTGCTACTTGGATGCTACTTCCCGGGAGCTGGGATGGCGCGGTTGGCGCATGCCCGCCACGACCATCCGACGGCGGTCTACTCGATGACGTAACAAACATGGCGTAATGCGTAACGGGAAGCGGGAGGCAGCAGAGGCGGCAGAGGCAGCAGAGGTGCCGCTTCAGATCGCGGGACGATCTCTTACGATAGCGGCGGGAGAGACGCTCCGGCTCGTCTCCGGTCGCAGCTCACAGGCACAGGGAGCCCCAGGGGAAAATGAATGACTCGAATGAGAATGAGATGTTCATGTCAAACGTAATGATGAGTAAATGAACGAGGAAAGCTTTCTAAATAGTGATGCGTAGCGTTACGTTGGCCCTTGAGACTAATTAATGGAACGATTAAAAAATATCAACTAGTGGGGTGGGTGGCATCGTGCCTTAAGGCAAATTGCTGGAACTTCCCGTACCGTAACAAAATGTTCGAGGAATATTGAATGTTTTCAAATAGATTATTATAAATATTGTAACATTGTCTAATATTTATAAGAATTATATAAACTGAATTGCAGAGTTGAAATTATTTGTTTAAAGTACATATATTAGAACTATAGTCAGAATTAAAAATAAAATCTGAATTATTTTCGATATACAAAAAATTTAAAAAAAAAAAAAAAAAATGAACAAAAAATTTTATTTTTCAAAATCAATTATTTTGTTAAGACAAGCAGAAAGTTCTTTGAATCATTCAAATCGGACGCTTAGTTCTCTCAAAAGCTGCCATTTTTTGTACATTTAGCTCTGTATCTCCGAAATGGCTAGGCCTGCCTTTGCGAAAAACTAATAACCTTTCTCCCTATCATTACTAATTGAATGTTTTTTAGATCATTCAAATCGGATGCTCCGTTCTCTCAAAAACTCGATTTCTATTTTCTGCACTCTTTGCTCCTTATCTCCGTAACTACTGGACCTGCCTTTGCCAAAAACTAATCAGCACATTTCCTTATCAATAGGAATCGAATGTTTTTTAAACCATTCAAATCGGTTGATCCGTACGCCCGAAAACGTGGGCGAAAATTGTATCCATACATACACACACACACACACATCCATTTTTCTGGAGTACCAAAATGTTCAGAAACCTTCAAAACGTCGAGAAATGTAAAAATTTTCAATTCCGATTTTCGGCCCATTACAATAACTTACCCTACGGGAAGTTAATAAACAAACATTCGAAAATAGCAAGTAACATTCAAAATTATAAACATTTGAAAACCAGAAATCATTGCTGGTACGTTTATATTTACTGCTACATTAATTTGCCTGCAAAATTAATGCAGTTTTCACAGTAATATATATCAAAAAGATTGATCCAAGCTCTCAAAAACATGCGCGAAAAATTTTATCCAAAAATACACACATACAATTTTCTGAGGATAAGCAAAAAAACATCGGAGGAGCCTGAAACCTAAACACTAAAAAAGAAAACATTTCCCACTATTTCCTTCATTTTTACACATACGGAGCGACATTTTTCTTCGTTGTTAATTTAGTACGTTATTTTTCAGGTATGTTGTTAGTGTGAAATAATTTGAGGTAGGCATTATGTAACCCCCAGATTTATTTCAATTAAAGTGCCCACGGCTGAAATTTTGTTGCGGAATGACCCATTGGTGGGCAAACGGTCATTACCATGTTAATCTAGGGAAAGTTAATTAGTGAATAAAAACAAAGAGAAAATCTACATTTCATTACTACTGAAACGACGAACTATAAAGAAAATCAGGTTTACACCTTAGCGGTATTAATCTGTTTGTATTAAGTCCTTACAAAATATATTTTTTTTTAGTTTAGAAATTTTGTAAACAGAATTATTTAATAGAACTGAACATAATTAACAAATAATTAGTCCGGTGCCTAAAAACGCAAATATTTAAGTTATTAATAAGGTAATAAAAATTAAGTTTGATGCAAATGAAGATAACACAAGTACAGGTGGATTGATTTTACACATTTAATTAAATAAAAATTAATAAACTAATAAAGAAAACTTTTAATATTGTCCTGTTATGACATTTTTTCCCAGCATCACCTAATGACGTTGCATTCCGCCATTACTTTATTTATTATTTAAACGACCAAGGGATAACAATATCAAGTCAAATATTATTATAGGCACTATATAGATCAACATTGCTCTATTCAACATCTCGGAACATATTTTATGTGTGAGTTGAATAATTTTTATTACAAAAGGGCGGCTTTTACAACTTAACAACATACCGGGAAAATTGACTTCTGCCCTTCATATATAAGATTATGCGTATTTCCTTGCCACCTTATATAATATAGAATATTACACCATTATCCTTATTCGTAAGTATTTATTTGCATTATTTTACAAATATCTATTTTGATTACGATTTAAATTATTTAGATATAAATTTTACTTTAGTTTACTTGTAAAATTAATGTATTTTTGGCAGAAATTTAATGTTAAACTATAAACTATAAATTATAACGCATTATATATATATATATATATATATATATATATATACATATATATACATATATTCAATTTATATATCTTCAATATTTTAGAACTATAAAAATATATTTTATATATATAATATATACAGCCTATTTACAAAATCTTAAGTACTTATCACGATTTTTATATAAATGGAAGATTCAACAACTATTAATAAAACTTATTTCGAAATAAATGCATCATTTAAAATAAACTCAGTTCTAATATAATTCTAACAATAAGTCATTGATTGTATGGAAATTTGGTCGCATCATTTTTTTTATCACACATATTTTTATTCTCTATATAAAATATTTATGATATTTTCCAAAACAAGTAACAAAACATAATTAAGTAATATTTGGTAACAGTAACTAAGTACGTAAAAAATTGCACGTATTCGGAACGATAACTAGAAAGCATTATTCTAAAAATATTTACATTTAAATAATTAAAACTTCGAAACTATACGACCTAATCAAATATTTGGTTGCATGTATGTTCATATTTCTTTTTATATAGGAGAATATGCATAATTAAGCTAAAACTTTTCGAGCTTTTCAAATATTTAAGTATATACCATTGTAATAAACACTTGGGAGTTATATTAGACGTGCAGTTGAGGCGATATGAATTTATAAGTGAGACACGTCCTTTTATAAAATTGTTGGAAACAAAACGAAAATAATTCTCATCACCAGAATTAAGCTATAACCTATACTTTGATTTTGATAATATCATATCACATATCAAAGTATTTCTTTATCGTAATCCAGTGGAAACGTCATATAGGTCGTTTGAGTACATCTAGATCTAGAATATATAAGCTGGTACTAAGTTTTCGAAATACGATCACCAGAAGTAGGCTGAATTTTATTTGTTCGAAACAAAACGATCATTGTTTACTAAATTCTCATCACCAGCTTCAAACTTTAACTTATAATTTAAATCTGATACTATTATATCACGTATCAAAGTATAGCTTCATCGTAATCCAGTGCATTATCGAGAAAACCAATATGTTCATCTAATAAGTGTCTCACGGAATCGAAAGGAACATATTCCTCCTGTTCTTGTTCAATGGTAAATAGGCAATTGGAAACATCATCCATGTCGAGTGCATCTAAAATATCTAAGCTGGTACTTTCAAGATTATTTTCCATATAAGTTTTTGGGATAAAATCATCAGGCGAGGGTTGAATTTTCTTCTGTTCGACGGGGACGGAGTCGTTGGAGGTTGAAGCTGACCTGAGACCGTGCAACTTGGCGTGTTTGCGGAGACTCGAAGGGTCGGTGTATCTTTTGCTGCAACCGGGTACCTGACACGCATAGGGTTTCTGAAAATTAAAGAAAATATTGACTTTGAGGTTTATATTATGACCATTGTGTATAAAAATTGACATAATAAAAGCAACTGGTTGTGCATATTAACTCGAGTTAAAGCAAATTGCTGAAACCACTGGTTGTATAAACAACACTTACATTAGATGCTTGGTGTTAAAAAATTTAACAACTAAACTTTATTTTATTTTTAAGGGTTAATTATTGCTTTAATTTAATAGTTGTCTATTATCTTATATTTTCCCTTTGATTACGAAGCTTTATCGAGTCGGATAGCGCAAGGAAAGTTTTCTGCATAATATAGTTTCGGGTCAAACGGTTAAATAATAAATGTCGAGTAGTTATCGACTCCTGTATATTAATATGTCACAAGCACATGGATATCAAACGTCAAGTGGCAGCCATCAATTAAATGCCTTCTTATCTTTAAGACGAGGAACATTATAAATAACTGAAGCCCATAAACATAACAGCCCCTTATCCTAAAACCCATTCAAGCACTTTTTTATTTATTCGGCTGTCGCGCGTAGTTTTCAAGTTTGCGACTATATAGAAGTAAAGTATTTGTAATGGAAAATCGAGAGCGTCGCAGGCAAAGTTAAACTAATGGTGTAGTAAATATGATGATAAAATTACTTTTTTATATTTCTTACTACCCTTAAATTTAACTTACCCTTAGTTTATATGTAATTACCTATGTAAATGCATTTGTGCATTTTTTTAGCACCTACATATATTTTCAGTATGAAACTCTACATTTTACAGCCAATAGATTTACTGAATATCCTTTGTTATATGTGAACAGTTGTAAATGTATCTTAGAAATAAAGTAATTTTAAAAATCGTACTTGTTAAATTATGATTTAAACAATTACAAAATTCTCCAAGTTGATTATAATTAATTAAATTGCCTGATTCAAAATATTTTTCAATGTTAGCTTTCTCACTAAATATTAATAAAGCTTGAATAAACAGAAGTACTGAATACACGACGATACGAATATAATGATAGGAATCGAAAGAAGCTTATATTTCATTAATACTAAACAAACAGCACGTGCTAACTTTTATAATACGCGCTATTGATACACGTTTATTAATAATTTAATAATTGAGATTGCAAGGAATTTGATTTTGGCTACATTTTATCATTTTTAGATCATTTTCATTAATTATATTTTAATTTTCTTCACCCATATAATCTCTTTTTAGAACTTATAGAATTTTAATGCACCATTTAAAGAGCATTCTATCAATCACATATTGAATTGAGTAAAGGCTCATTGCTTTCGCTATATTTAAAGAACTGCCATTGCATTCATATATAAAATTGTTTGTCGTTTTCAGATTTGTTATCATTATTCTAGTTTTCTGGTTTCTATTATGCTATTTACATAATATTAAAATCATAAAAATTTGAGTAAGATTAGATTTCCAAAACAGAATCATATTTGTTATGAATAGTTAATTTTGATATTGAAATATATAACTCTTAAAAGGTATAAAGTGTAAAAAAATATTTTAAAGCACATAAAGCATATGTTATATTTCAAAAAATATGTTAATAATATTAATTGTTGAATTATTTTATGTCTGTTCTTCAATTTTTCCATATAAACTGATGGTGACATAAATTCATATGGCAATACGTATGACAAAATTAAGACTTTTTTAAGCCTTTTCCAGAATTGATGCTATGCCTTTAAGATCATACACACACACACACATATATATATATATATATATATATATATATATATTCTAGTTCAAATCATATAGAAAGACATTAAAGAGATTAATATTATTTTATGAAGTTCAAATTCATATTGAACAGGGGGCGTCCATTAATCACGTGAGCGAGTTTTTAAGGATTTTTGAACCCCCCCTCCCCCTTGGTGATTCATGATGAAATTCAAAATTACCCCCCTCCCCCACCAAACATCACGTGTATTTTTAGTTTCGCGATAAAACTGTAAAATTTTTGATTTTTTTTTGAAAATGTTTAATTTTTTTTTAAATCAGGTAAAAAATAAATACACTAAATACAATATTAGCTTACTATACCCTCCCTCCCCCACGTGATTTTTCGTGATTTTTTGTCAAATCCCCCCTCCCCCTAAAAACCTCACGTGATTAATGAACGCCCCCACAGAAATGTTGGAATTATTTTATTATTTGATTTCATAGAAGTAGACAATATGAATACCAATATTGATTTTTCAAAAAAAATTATTTAAGAAAAAAATTCATTTTGTTTGAAATAAAATTTTGTTTGAAAGAAAATCTGATTGATAATAACATAATTATTTTTCGTTTTTTATTTCTATCTGCAAATTTAAAATCACCTTTCCTCTTTTATTTGATATCATATCAAATTATTTCTATTATTCACAAATTTCATTTATTTTATTTATTAATTTTATTATTATCATTGTTTGCTTTTTATTTTAAATTAAATTACTATCATATGGATATCATTTCAATGGAAATGCTGTCTTTTATTTTGTATTATATTTTATTTATATATCTAGTGTTACTAGATGTTATTTAGCAGATGTAACATATTGAAGTTAACAAAAAAATGATATCATGCCGTGCGAGGTCTTGCTTGTTAATTAATTTTTCTAATATTAATTTTACATTCAAATCCTAAAGTTCCAACAATTTGCTTTAAGGGGTTAGGGGTACTTGCAGGCACGAAAAAATGAGTGTTTTCAGTATTTTTTTTCTGTTATTAAACGATGTTTTTTTACAAAACTATTAATACAGCATTATTATACAATGTTTTGACTTGATGTAACAAAAATTTCAGAAAAAAAAAATGAATATTCCCAAAGTTATAGCTGTTTTTGTTGACCCTGTTTCGAAAAACGGTCCTGGCGGTGACCATCATAACTCCTTGGAGATTCATCTAAAATCAATCAAATTGAAAAAATAGTTTTATGAATAGTTAATCCCGGGCCGGATCGAAGGTTTTCTTTTTTTTGCAAAAATTAACAAAATGGCAGCATCAGAAAGAAAAAATCTAGATTTTTGGGTAAAAAATCAACAGTTTATTGGTCTTAAAAATCTCAAATTTTTGAAAAAATAAAAATCCTTCGATCAGGCACGAGTTTATTATGTATTCTAAAAGCTGTATAAATTTCATTAGAATCTACTAAGCGGTTTTTGAGTTACAGTGGTCACCGATTCAAAAAACATAGTTTTGAGAAAAACGCGTTTAAAGTTTCACATTGGATTTACGTACAGAAATTCGAATTATTGAATTTCTTAAACCGAGTCATCTATTTCTGGGCCATATAATAGTTCATCAGTCATTGTGCAAGTTTCCAAAATTTCCATTTGCTGTTGCCTACGAAGCATTCTGGCCCGCCGAGTGCTCTCGTTGGCGCGCTGATCTGCCACTTTCACACGTGCAGCATCCAATTTTTTAGCATACCAATGGGAATTATACCCACAATTAGGTCCTAGGGTATCCATAATCAATAATAATGATTATGTATATGCATTCAGCAATTTGTACGATAGTAGAACTAGTATTCACGGTTTTTATGCATATTTTTTACACTAGTTGGTTGAAGCTTTTAATTTTTTCTGATTATGGATTCAATCTTGAACTACACATCTTGAAAGTAAATTATCATTGCTGAGATCGTCGTAAATCGGTTTAAACGCTTTTAAAACATCAGGAGGTGAGAGAGAATAATCTTGAGTATCAGTATCGAGCTCTCCAATTGCGTCAACGCGCCGGTAAGAGTCCAATAACTCAAAATGTAATCATCGGATCAACTTGAAATTTTCAGAGAACATTTTCAAGATATTACACTTAATGAAAATGCAAAAAAAAATAAAAATCGATTTTTCAAAAATTCCAAGTACCCCTAACCCCTTAAGGCACCATGACATATTCTAAACACCTCGAGGATTACAGTAAAGTCAAGTGCATATATTGAAAGTATTACATCGTTTAACTTGAGTTTTTTTTATTGTACACAGCTTGTTCCAACAATCAGAGTTCAATTAACTTGAGTAAATTAATATTTTTTAGTAACAAAAGTAATGAAGGTCAGATTTGTTGCTTATTGGGTAATTTTTATTATCAAATTTAAATTGTAATATTGCATTTCCAGTCATAAGTCAAGATGCTATACACCTGCAGTTTTACTATAAAGTCGACATGAGTAAATCAATAATATCGTCATAGTGTAGTGTTCCACTCACCGTGTCAAAGTGCGTCCTCTGATGTTTGGCACGGTCCGAGCTGTTGCTGAAGGCCTTCCGGCATCCGGCGTACTGGCAGCCGTACGGACGCTCGCCAGTGTGGGAGCGCTGGTGAATCTTCAAGTTCTCCAGCCTCGAGAACGCCTTGTCGCAACCATTGAACTGAAAAGTACGAAAACAAATAAATAAATATCATCAACTAAATTCTATACGCAAATTTAATATTACAAATATATAAGATTTGTATCGTAATTAAGAAGTATTTTATATTAGTATATAAGTTAAGTCCCTCAATATAGATAGATATAAGAAGAGAAAAGCTTCCTGGTGTTCATTTTTATATATTTACACAAAATAATAATGATTCTGTATTGTTTAAAATCTGAGGGGCATAATTATAAAACTAGTTAAATATAGTAGTGATATCATATTGTGAAATTCTAATATTTCTTTGATAAAAAGATAAAATGATGCATAATAGTAAACTCTCTATTAATAATATTTGATTTATCATTTCAAGTCATTAATCAAAATTAACCTTTTTAATTCCATTTTCCGAAAATTAACGAACCCTAAAATCATTTATTTACTAAAAATGTCAAAAAGAACTTAGTAAAGTATCCAATAACGACTTTTATTGCTGTCAACATTATATTTTCAAGAAAAATAAAAAGTTAACACGAGTATAACTAGAAATAAGTAGGCCTAAAAATTAAAATTATTTTGTTCAATTGACAATAATTTGAAAAATTAAAATAAAACAACATATTATTAAAACTTCGAGATTTGATAAAAAGATGATAAAAAAAGTGGTGAATAATAGTAAACTCTCCATTAATAATATTTGATTCACCTGTTCTGTACATTTCCATTATTTGTCAAAATTACCTTAAAAATTCCTTTCAAAACTTTTCCAATTTATGATGATTCATGTAATATTAATAATTTCATTCTTTATTGTCTTTTGATACAGCGCTTTTTTAGATTTAAAAATTTTACGAAGATGACATTTATACAACTTTTAGTCGACATATGAATTCGTAAGAAATCTGTGTAAAACAAGCATTGTATCAAATGACAAAGTGTGGAAATAATTGATATTACATAAATCATCATAAATTAGAAAAGTATGAAAAAGAATTTTTAAGATAATTTTGACAAAAAATGGAAATATACAGAAATCAAATGTTGAATCGTTTACGATTATTCACCACTTTTTATCATCTTTTTATCAAAGCTCGAAGTTTTAATAATATGTTGTTTTATTTTAATTTTTCAAATTATTATTAATTGAACAAAATAATTTTAATTTTTAGGCCTAACTTATTTCTAGTTATACTCGTATTAACTTTTTATTTTATTCTTGAAAATATAAGGTTGACAGCAATAAAAGTCGTTATTGGATGCTTTACTAAGTTCTTTTTGACATTTTTAGTAAATTTTAGTAGATTTTAGGGTTCGTTAATTTTCGGAAAATAGAATTAAAAAGGTTAGTATTGATTTATGACTTCTAATGACTTATGACTTCTAATATTCGAGCATGGTATTGAAAAAACTTATTTGTGAAGAATATCAGTATGAAAAATAAAATTAGTAAGATTTTTAAATTCGTAATCACTTTATCGTACATATCGATAATGAATAGTCTGAGTACTGATAAAAAAAATAGATTCAATTGATATGTTTACGTTTAGTTTAAAATTTTCAAAAGTCTACGTAAAACTGGCAAATGCGATGCAAATATTAATATATAAATAATTAGAAAAGGGTCAATGCACTTGCACTTGGTTATGTCAACGGTCACGACACATGGGCGACAGCCGTTGCAAGGGAGTTATCGAAGTGAGCTTTCGCGTTAGGTGGTTAACAAAAACATTCATCGCTCACAAATAGGGTGTACGCTGCTAGACGATCGTATGCTGCTGCAACAAGATTATATATGTTTTTTTTTGCTTACATTTTTTTCAAACATTTTTTTCCGCTAAACGTTTTTTATCTTATACGGGTCACGATGCCTGCCCGGCGGACTGGCGCACATGTTTGCGTACGCGGAATGATGTATGCACGATCACATCCGCACGAATAACAAGTAACGTTTGGAATTGCAGTGAGGGCAATTGCATGATATGTAGTTATGAATTTCAAAACGAATATTAACGACCAAAGTTAATCAAAAATTACCACTTTCGTAATTCACTACTTATAAAATTAGAAATTCACGAAGAAAATAGTTTAAGGACTGAATCAAATAAAATATTAATAAGTTTATTATAGAGAAATTTTATTATTACTACTCACCGGACATTTGTTCGGCTTGTCTCCCGAGTGGACGCGCATGTGGATCAGCAGCTTGTACCTCGCATTGAACGGCCGTTTGCTCCTCAGACATCCTAACCACAGGCACGAGTACTCCTCAGCTTTTCCACACTTCACATGCGTCTTTTCAATGTGCCCAACAAGCGTCCGCCGATCACTAAATACTAAATGACAATCCATCCATCTGCATTGCATTTCTTCCTGCTGGCCAATGTCCGTAGTTACGTTCTCTTCTTCCGAAAATGACAATTTCTCGTCCGGCGAAAGCAAATTCATGCAATCGGCATTGTATAGGAATGAATTTTGCGAACCATCGTCTAAGTACGTTTTATCTTGCATCAAAAGATTGTTGTCATTGTACGTCGAATTCTGGTGGTGGTAGCGTTCTATGTCTTCAGGTGCGAAACGGAATACACCCCGTTCGGTGGCGAGTCCGGTGCCGGTGTGTCGATGAAAGTGATGAAAAAATTTAATTCTTGTGGTGTTGAGTCTAAATTGCAATAATCTATTTGAATGTTATACGTTCCGTAATCATCGACAGGCGGCGACATGGGGGTTAATTGTTCGAGCGGTATATTGTAATGGTCTAAGGGCGCGCAATTGTACCGGTCAGTAAATTGGTTGAAACCGGGCAAAGGCTGCAAGTTTTGCTGGTTATCCTCTTGGAGGCACATGCCAGTTAAAAAATCCACGTACATAGTTCTATCTTATAAAATCACTCACTGTTAAAAGTACACTAATATTTCACTTGCACAATATTTGGGTCATGTGCATCTTTTCCCTGTCGCAGAGATACTGATAACTTCATCATAAAGCGAAGGATAATCCTAATGATATTTATGTTTGTGTAAAGTGCGTAGACGCATGGTTGTCATAACCCAGCTCACATAATGAGAGTCAGATGCACGTGGGGAAAACAGGGACAGATATAATGAGCTGGATGCGTATCCTTTTTTCGTACGGGATCACTTCATTTCGGTTATGTTTTATTTCATCTACATTAAAAGTGTAAGTATTAAGTCACGCCTACCCTTTTCGAGCTGATTATAATAATATGTTACGCAATGCATTATAACCATTTAAGGCGCATCAACGGCGGAAAATTAACGGAGATCGTGCTCCGTGATCTACGAAAGACGAACGACAAATTAGTGTTTGTGGCTCGGAACACACTTTTGGCGATTAACACACCTGAGCACTTTTATGAAAGTTGGAGCACGTGAAAAATAACCCACTGAAGAAAAATTTAAACTTTGCAATCATTTTTCTATTAAAATAATTAATTATAGTAAAATACTATGCGAAGTATATGTATACTTCTAATAATTATATTTTAATACTACTTAACGAATGATGTAAAAATTACATTTTTGTATTTATCATCATTTTTGTATTAATGTTACTTAAATATGGAATAAGCTATAAGCAGCCACATTTAGTATATTTTATTTTTAGGATTAGTAAATATATTATAATGTTTGTAATTATTCTAATTGTTAAAATAGCAATAAGTGTGGTTGTAATCGTCAGACTTGTTTGTACTGGACGACTGTTTTTTTATTTTCTTATGAGATATTCAGTCAAACAAGATATATCATAAAAATCTATAATATTGTATAATAACTCAACGTAAATATAATCGTAGCATGTGATGTAAAACAAAACT